TATATATATTTTTTATTGATTTTTTACAGAGAGGAGGAGAGAGGGATAGAGAGCTAGAAACGTCAATGAGAGAGAAACATCAACCAGCTGCCTCTTGCACACTCCCTACCAGGGATGTGCCCTCAACCAATGTACAAGTCCTTGACCAGAATCGAACCTGGGACCTTTCAGTCCGCAGACCGAGGCTCTACCACTGAGCCAAACCGGTTTCGGCTCCCCTGATTGACTTGTATAGATCTAAATAGTACTAAATGCAGTTGGAGCCACTATGTATTTGACTTTGTTTGGTTTTGCTGCTATTAATATTTATTTTAAGATGTAGAAAGAGCAAAAATAGTCCTTTGTTTTGGATTAGTGTATTACACTGCTAATTAGGTTCTCCAACAAACTTTGCAAACTATGTACTAACTGTGCAGACTCTGACCTGGTGAAAGAACATGTAGAACAGGAGTAAGTGTTCTCTGTTACATAGACTGTCATGTCCTCTACAAATAGAGATGGTTAAGCTTCTTGGTGTATAATCTTATGGCTTTAATTTCTCATTTTGTCTTATTAATTCTTAATTAATAAGATTGGGACATTTACTACAATGATGAATACAGATGTCCTCAGAGAAGGCAAAAATGTCACCATTTAGTAGATGTTAGCTGTTTGGGTTTTTCCCTCTTTATGAAATTGAGAAGGTGCCCTTTTACTCCTAGTTTTTGACAGGAGAAGATACTCAATGTTTCCAATGTTTTATTTCTAACTATTGAGATAAAATATGACTATCCCTCTCTATTCTGATGGTGAATTATAATCATTGGTTTTCAAATTTTAAAAAAATCTTCCTTGTCTGGGATAAACCCAAATAGTCATCATATAATAACCGTTTTATATACTGCTACATTCTATTACATTTTGTTAGGAATTTTGTATTGGTATTTATAAGAAATATTGGTGTATAGTTTGATTTTTTTGCAATTATCTTGTAAGTTTTTAGAGGTAGAATATGCTGACCTCATAAAGTAAATGAGGAATGCCTTCTTCATTTTCTAGAAGGTTTCATTGTAAGGCTGGTATTTCTTCATCTTTAAATGTGTGAATTCAACAATTTTTCTGAGCTACACTTTTTCTTTGTGGGAGAGTTTTAATAACACATTATTTTAATATTTATTATTATTATTTTCTATTTTATATATGAGATATTTTATATATGATATTTAACAATTATATTACATATTTTATTAATACAAACCTAATTAGATGTTATCTTCTTACCTTAGTTAAAACTGTATTTTAATTAACTTTTAAAAACAATTAAATCTTTATTATTGGAAGGATTACATATATCCCACATTTCCCCCCAGTGACCCCTTCTAGAACACCCTCCCCTCTCTGGCGCTGTCACCCTCTCACCCCAGGCCTTCATCACCTATTGTCTGTGTCCACAGGTTATGCATATATGCATCCAAGTTCTTTGGTTGATCTCTTTCTCTGAGATTTTGCAGTCTGTCTATGCTTCTATATCTCTGGATCTATTTTGTTCGTTAGATCCCACACATGACTGAGATAATGTGATACTTGTCTTTATCTGACTGGCTTATTTCTCTTAGCATAATACTCTCAAAGAGTAAGAGACAGTTTGGAGGGACCTGCTGCATGGTATTCCATGGTGTAAGTGTACCCAGCTTTTTTATCCACTCATCTACTATGGCACTTGGGCTGTTTCCAGAGGTTAGCTATTGCAAATTGCCCTCCTGTGAACATATGGGTGCATCTATTCTTTCTGATTGGTGTTTCTGGTTTCTTAGGATATATTCCTAGAAGTGGGACCACTGGGTCTAAGGGCAGCTCCATATTTAGTTTTCTGAGGAAACTCCATGTTTTCCGTAGTGGCTGCACCAGTCTGCATTCCCAGCAGCAGTGCACTAGGGCTCCTTTTCTCCACATGCTCGCCAGCACATGCCATACTTTTTATATCAATCCAGATAAATAATTTTATGAGAATGTGTTTTTCCCATTATTTTTAAAAAAATCCTCACCTGAGGATATAATTTTATTGACGTTAGAGAGAAACATTGATTGCTGCCTCCTACATTGGCCCCGACTGGGTTTCGAACCCGCAACCTCAGTATGTAACTGTGATTGAACCTGAAACCTTCCTGTTAATGGGATAACACTTCAAGCAATAGAGCCATCTGGCCAGGGCCTTTGCAATTCTTTTTTTTAATTTTATTTATTTATTTATTTATTTATTTATTTATTTATTTATTTATTTAAAAAATATATTTTATTGATTTTCCACAGAGAGGAAGAGAGAGGGATAGAGAGTTAGAAATATCGATGAAAGAGAAACATCGACCAGCTGCCTTCTGCACACCCCCTAACAGGGATATTCCTGCAACCAATGTACATGCCCTTGACCGGAATCAAACCTGGGACCTTTCAGTCCACAGACCAATTCTCTATCCACTGAGCCAAACCGGTTTTAGCTATTTATTTATTTTTTATTAACTATGGTACCAAGCAAGGACCTTTGCAATTCTTATCTCATATTTTATTTGGAGTATTTTGTCAAGAAACCAAGTACTATCCAGTAATTACATCATCAGTTATTTCTTTTCAAAAGTAACAACTGTAGCCCTAGCCAGTTTTCTCAGTGGTTGGAGCACCATCCCATACGCCAAAAAGGTGGCAGTTCAGTTCTGGTCAGGGCACATGAGGTTTCAGGTTCAGGCCCTGTTCAAGGTGCAAGGAAACTAGTTGTTTCTCTTTCTCCTTCCTTTTCTCTATCTCTCTCCCACTCCCATTCTTAAAATCAATTTTTAAAAATTAATATACAATTTAAAAGAAGATAGCTTCCAACAAATTAAAAATTAAAAACCTAGGACTCACCCAGCTGGTGTGACTCACTGGTTGAGCATTGACCTTTGATCCCTGTCAGTGCACATGCCCAGGTTTCAGGCTCAATCCCTAGTAGAGGGCATGTAGGAGGCAGCTGATCAGTGATTCTCTCTCAATATTGATGTTTCTGTCACTCTCCCCATCTCCCTGCCTCTCTAAAGTAAAAAATATATATGTATTAAAAAAAGAAAACTAGCCCTACTTGGTTTGGTTGAGTGGATGCAGGGGTCCTTAAACTTTTTAAAGTGGGGGCCAGATCACGGTCCCTCAGAGAGCTGGAGGGCCGGACTATATGAACTACTAATTCCTACTGTAACACCTCAGCTGCGCTCACTGCCCAAAAAACCTGGCGGGCCGGATCAGACTCCTCTGCGGGCCGCATGCGGCCCGCGGGCCGTAGTTTGAAGACCCCTGGGAGCATTGGCCTGTGGACTGAAGGGTCCTGGGTTTGATTCCAGTTAAGGGCACGTACCTTGGTTGCAGGCTCCTCCCCTGACCTGGCCCTGGGGAGGGCTCATGCATGCAGGAGGCAACCAGTCACTGTGTTTCTTTCTTATTGGTGTTCCTTCCTGTCTTTCCCTCTCTCTTCCACTCTCTCTCTAAAAATCAATGGAAAAATACCCTCGAATGAGGATTAAAAAAAACGGAAAAAAAACTGTCAGATAGTAAAATTAGAGGAGTGTCCTCTTAAGAGCAGCATCTCCAAATACATTTGTTACTTCCTTGCTTCCTCCTTCCTTGCCTAGAACTTCAGGCACCTGATCTTTGTGGTAAATGCTAAGCAAACTTAATGCAGGCTTTTATTGAAAGCATATTACATACAGTTACACACTTTGTAGATAATGCAAATTTTTTAAAAAAATATATTTTATTGATTTTTTACAGAGAGGAAGGGAGAGAGATAGAGAGTTAGAAACATCGATGAGAGAGAGTCATGGATCCTGTCTTTCCCTCTCTCTTCCACTCTCTCTCTAAAAATCAATGGAAAAATACCCTCGAATGAGGATTAAAAAAAACGGAAAAAAAAACTGTCAGATAGTAAAATTAGAGGAGTGTCCTCTTAAGAGCAGCATCTCCAAATACATTTGTTACTTCCTTGCTTCCTCCTTCCTTGCCTAGAACTTCAGGTACCTGATCTTTGTGGTAAATGCTAAGCAAACTTAATGCAGGCTTTTATTGAAAGCATATTACATACAGTTACACACTTTGTAGATAATGCAAATTTTTTAAAAAAATATATTTTATTGATTTTTTTACAGAGAGGAAGGGAGAGAGATAGAGAGTTAGAAACATCGATGAGAGAGAGTCATGGATCAGTTGCCTCTTGCACACCCCCTACTGGGGATATGCCCGCAACCAAGGTACATGCCCTTGACCGGAATCGAACCCGGGTCCCTTCAGTCCCCAAGCCAACGCTCTATCCATTGAGCTAAACCGGTCCCGGCAATAATGCAAATTTTAAAAAGACGTAGTCTTTGCTCTCAAGCTTAAAAATTAGAAGGTGAAAAGGGGCCTACATAACCGCAACAAAGGATAAAAAGTGAGAAGCAGATTCAGCAAAGTTCGCTGAAAAGTGTGTGGGAGTTCAGATGCTGCTTCCACTTGTGACTCAGGGGAGGTCCCCATAAAGAAATGACATCTGAAATGGTTCTGAGATTCATCAGTTTTTCAATATGTAGCCGTGGCTAGGATCTCATTTTATCCAGAGTTAAAATAATACTTTTTATCTCTGAGGCAGGTCAAAAAGCAAGTCCTACAAAATTACCTTTAAGCTTGTATTAGTAGCAGATCATTAAATACACAAATAACAAAACGTAAACAACCGAAGTTGTACATGGAGAGCTGAGCAGACATTGTCGCCATGCTGTGTTTAAATATGTCTGGAACCCAGGGCCGCTGGCATCTCACTTCAGAGAAAGAAGACTGGCAGGAAGCTCTCAGTGTGACCTGATAAGAAGAGAGATGACAGTTACTCTGCATGAGGTGGAGGCGAGAATTGAAAGTAAAAGGAAGGGGACTGAGGAAAGAAGAACTAATGGGGGAGAAGGTGGGGGGGGGGGGAGAGAGAGAGAGAGAGAGAGAGAGAGAGAGAGAGAGAGAGAGAGAGAGAGAGAGAGAGAAGAAAAGTGGGATGACAAGTAGGGAGTGGATGAAAGAACAGGAAAGATGGGCACAAAAAACTCACCAGCACTTCCTAAGCCAAAATGCAAGAGCTGTCAGGAGCACCAGGGGCACCATCACTGCCAAGATGATCCAGCCCTTGGAGCTGTGATGATGTTCTGTGGGTTTGGGTGCACACAAGGTGTCATTTCAAACCCACCCCCGGTTTACTGCATTTCCCTGGTCTGCCTTTGTTATTAGAGTGTTCCCCTCACTAATCTTTGTTCTTGTTTCCTCTCTCCTCCCTCTTCAGAGTTGAATCTTTTATTAACTCTCAACATCTTCCTCATTTTGTACTCTTTTATTTATTAAACTATTTTCATTCTTTTGAGTCTGGAATCCATAAATCCCAAGTGTTTCACTTTGCTTTCCTGCTCTGCTTGTGGACCATCCACTCCCATTCCCAGTGTGGGCCCCAGTTTTTCTTACCCAGGTAGAGGAGGATGTCCTGGCCTCCCAGGCTGCTGTGTCTCACCCGGCAATATAGGCCAGATGTCTCAGTGGCTTCCACCTCCAAGAAAACCTTAAGGTACCATGTCCCATCAGCATTGGGCAAGATGCCACTCTGTTGAGTGCGCTGCTGTACCTGTTCACCTCGCATCCACTTGACCCAAATTGGCTTTGGATGGAAGCCAGAGACATGACAAACCAGCATCTGGCGGTCAGGACTGGAACTGGGGCCAGTGGACAGCCAGGCCTCTGGTTTTACTGCAGAAGACAGGAAAGATATTTAGGTAAGGACTCTAACAGACTTGGAGGTTCATATCTTCACAGTACCTTAGATGGACACATCTATCATGTGCTGGGAATTTGTCTCGCATATCCTTTTCCCTTTTAACTTCTTATCCTCAATTCAAAGGGTTTGTGGGAATGTATAATTTTAGAATAGAAAATGCTTGGAGAAAGGATATGAGACTGACCTTCTCTTTGAAGATCTGCCTTTCCTGCATCAAGGATGCTCAAGAGTAAGCGTGGGCAGATGACACTGAGAATCCTCTGTACTGTTTCCTTGCTGGTGTGATACTTATTGACTAGTCTGCACACATCCTGAGCTCTTGTTCCACTCTTTGAAGATGGCAGCCATGAATTGTTTTGGAAAAGCAAGAGATCTAATCCTTGATAAGCGAATCGATGGTAGCCTCCTATGGCTCCTCCAGGGTCCAGCACACAGCCCAGTATTGCCTGAATCTCAAAGGGATCTAGGAAAGAGGAGTTGTACATTAGAGGAAAGAGGGGATAAAAAGATGAAATTAGTGAAAGCAAAAAAAGGAAATAGAAGTAGTTTGTGGGATTTGAAGTAATGGAACAAACTTTGGTTTGATCAAGTTCAGAAAAAGTGTAATTGGTGGTAGTTGAAGGTGGGGGGAAATATGAATGACTATTTTTTTTTGGCTTTTATGTCCACCAGAACTGACATAAATTGTGAGAGCAAGAGAATAAGAAAGCACATAATGTGAGAGTTGTGATTATAATAACCCAGGGTGAATGAAATGCAATAGGTTACAATAGCTGTATAGACAGAGAATGCTGAAGAGAATGGATGTGAGGGGAAATTGGGTTAAGAAACTCATTGAGACACAACACCCCCCCCCCCCCTTACACACACACACACCAGCACATTGCACCTCTCCATTTTGGTAATTGAACTTACATTTAAACTTCCATTGACTGGCATATCTGTGAGTTATCTGAGGCAATGCAATGGAGAACCCACGGAAGAATTCTTCTAGTTCTTTTATTTCTTCCTTGCTCAAGTTGCCCTTGGACCAAGGTTGCAGGAAAATGATTCTGCCAGAGTTGTCCCAGCCATGAGTCTGCAAGTCATCTAACCAAGCAGAGCTCTGATTTCTCACCCAGGAAAAATTGTAGAAGGATGAGCTGTGGATCATTTTGAAGGAGATCTCCTCCTGGAAGGCTGTGGCAACAGAACAAATAGAATGAGGAGAAGAAAAGGCATTGGTAAGGAGAGAGAATGAAGAAAGGTGCCAGGAAGGAAACACTCAGAGTCTGGAGATAAGGGAAGCTATGGCTACCTCAGCAGCATTCAGCTGCCCAGGGCCCCATGCTTTACAGACAACCTTCAGAAGGGCACAGAGTCCCAGAGTATGGGATACTCTTAACTGTGCTGACATCTCCTCTCCAGGTATGTTCTGAGGACGCCCCACCACACACACACACACACACACACACACACACACACACACACACACACACATATTTGTACCCAACAGGACAGTGGCCAGAGTTCTTACCATCTTCATTGTCACCAGCTGCGAGGAGAACAGCTAGCAATGGAATGTACAGAAGCAGCATTTCCTTTACAGATGTTCTTTCTTTCTCAGGAAAGGTTGTCTTTGGCTTATGTTTGAAATAAAACTACTCCACACTACCTCTATTTTTGTCTTCTACCAACAGAAAAAAAAACCCAAAAAAACAAACCAAGAATCCTTCCCTAAATTCCAGACACTGATTCAACCTCTCATTTCCCCTCTGCTTTGGACTTTGAACTTCTCCCTTTGTTACCAGCCTTCATTCTGTTCATCTTTCTCTAACTCAGCCTCTATGGACTAAGTCTTATGGGCCACTGAAAAGTCATAACCTCTGGAGACATTTCCTTCTCATTCAGTCAAGGAAAGCTTAAAACCAAATGGCTTTCCAATTCCTACCTAATGTTCTATTGTAACTGCTCTTTCCCGTCACTCTGTCCTTTTGGTGCCAAATTAAAATTTTCTTCAAATAATTTCTTCTGTCTAAGCCACACCCTATTGTGTCATATCTCTGACATCTCATTGGTTGTTTGATCTTCAGAATCTCCTATCATTGTCCTGTATAACAGTGTAAACTATTACTTCATTATCCTTAGGGAAGAACCAGTAGCTATCAGAGAGACCACACGAACCTGGAAACATAAAGAAAAATGTCCTCTGACTTGCATTGCTATATACCCAAATTAATACCCAAATTCACTCAGCACCTGCTGGATACAAGCATCTTGCAACACTCGTGAATATCTAGTGGTTGATAAGGCAATCAGTTTATTCAGGAGCTTGTATTCTACTTAAGAAGGAAGCACACAAACTGAGGACTAGAAGCTTGGTGTGCTGGGTTTATGGTAATGTACAGACTGGAGAAAACAAGCCTTCTTGAAACAAAGTCCCAGTCCTTAACTGACGTTGCCCACTCAGGATCTTGGCTCCAGTGATTCGCTCAGGGCGCCGGTCTGTATACCTCTGCTGCACTGGGTCCCCATCTCGAGTGGAATGCCTCCTGGCAAGGTGCTCAGTGAGTGAGTTTGAATGAATGAATAGTTGGGTTCAGGCACCCAATTATTTCTTTCATTACACAGATTTTTAACATTCTTGTTTAAGGTATCAGAAATCTTTGCTAGTATTTCTACTTGGTGAAATGAGAATCTTACACAGATTTATTTAGGATTAAAATATATGCTAATAAGCATGAAGTTTACAGAGAGTTATGGTATAAATCTACTACTTATAATATTTAAAAAACAGTGATAATTTGTGGGAAATTAAATTAATAGAATATTCTGGAGTTCTTTATCCAAGTTTTCCTTCTTATTGGCCCTGCTTGGATCTTCCAGCTTGTTTTATCATACACTGTTCTTTGCTGGCCATATTGACCCTGCTCTTTCATTCTTATCATATTTAAAAGGCTCTTAAAATGGTTTCCTTTGTAACTTCTAGATAAATGTGCTCTGGCTATTTTGTTATTTATTTGTATACAAGTAAACAATTAAAGCTAATTCTTAAAATATTTTGAAAAAAATTAAGATTATCTTAACCTAAAATTAAAAAGCCAAAACGTGGGGTAATAGGGTTTATTTGTATTGCAACTTGGGAAGCACATGTTCAAGCAGAAACCACATAGTGTTCTTATTACAGGGTGAGAGGAAAGAAATTTTAGGCGAAAAGAATGCATGAATAATTAAAAACAAACAAACAATAAAAACCTTCTGTTGGTGCTTACAAGCTGATAAGTAAATTCCTCCATAGGGGTTCAGAACAGGCCTCCCCAGAAGGTGCCACTCTAGCATTTGTCTTATTTTGAGCCTTAGCGTTTGAATTATGTTGAGCCAAAGACAATTAAGACCCTGCAGGCTCATGAGAAACTTTTACTTCTCCTTTGAAGAATTTAATAATAAGCTTTTATCTGAAACATTTTTAAACCAATCTACAGGGCAGGGCAGACTGCTAGTTACTGAACTCCTCTTATTACCAACCTTTGAAGCCCCACGCTTCCCTACCTCATCTTTACCTCAGACTTGCCTCTCACACCTCAGTTTTAAAAGGGCCACGTGGTCAGTCTGACAAGTTCAGTGACAGAAAGTAACCTCACAGGGTAACCTGACCATAACTTGCTATCTAGGCAGGTCCCAATGGGCACTCATGCTCCAGGTCTGAAAGGTGTGTCTGCCTTAAGCGAGCTCTGTCCATTGTTCCTGTGCATCTGGGTTAACACACCTTTGACATGTCCAAAGTGCTCTTTTCCAGACCCCTCTCAGGTGTGACCGCCTCACGGAGCACATCATCCTGTTACGTGTCCTGCCCCCCTTTTGGTGCTGGGACTGCACTTCCTGAGCTGAGCCACACTGGCCAGGCAGGACGCCCATGTCCCCCTGAGCCTTCACACCTCCCTGAGATCCCTCCTCTTGACCCACTGGTGCTGAGGTACAGGCATATTCCTACAGCTGCTACCTGGGCTTCCTCAGACACCAGCACAGCTCTGGAATTTCTCTGTCCTCTAAGCTCCCCTCAGAGCCCAGACGGGAGCTCCCCTCCCACACAGTCTCCCACCCTCATCTGAATCCCCACTCCCCACCAGCAATAACCTCAACTTCCCTGCTAGGGAAATCCACTGCCCCTTACAGGCCTGTGCTTTTTACTCAGCTACTTCTTTTCCCTCCTACTTGGCTTCAAGCTTCTCTATCCTCTTTCTGGCCTCTAGCCTCTCTGTGTATCTGATGTGAGTGCTTCTTGTTCTTCAAGTTTCTTGTACTAAAAGGATCTTAGGACTGAGAGTCAAGATACATTCCTGGATGAGACACCTGCCGGATGCAGTGAATTGGAGAAAACACAGCAGCATTCTTATCTCTAAAATAACTGATTGAAAGTTTTCTTATCTCTAAAATAACTGATTGAATGAAGTAAATGTTGTCTAATCAGCTGTCCCTCTAGCATTCTGTGCCTCCTACTGGGCTCCCTTTTCTAACCATTCATGTGCTCCTCCTCCCCATTTTGATTTTCCCTCATTTTTTTTTTAAACTTTACTTTTTAATTAGTTTATGTTAAATATTATTCGGTATTAGTCTTAGGTGTATAGCATAGTGGTAAGACAGTTATATCCTTATAAGGTGTTTCAGTTTAGTAGTATTAGTTTCGGGTGTACAGCATAGTGATGAGACAATTATGTCCTCACAAAGTGTCCCCTCCTTATTTTCAGTGTCCACCTGGCACCTTATATACAATAGTTACTACAGTATTAATAACTCTATTCGCAGTGTTGTGCTTTACACCCCTGTGACTATTTTGTGATTGTCAGTTTTACTTCTTTAAAAATATATATATATTTATTGATTTCAGTGAGGTAGGGAGATGGAAAGAGAGAGAGAGAAACATCAATGATGAGAGAGAATCATTGATTGGCTGCCTCCTCCATGCCCCACAACCCGGTCATGTGCCCTAACCATAATCGAACCATAAACTCCTGGTTCATAGGTCATTACTCAATCACTGAGTCTTGCCAGCTCGGATCAATTTTACTTCTTAATCTCTTCACTTTTTCACTCATTCCTTCAATCCTCCTCCCCTCTGGCAACTGTCAGTCTGTCCCCTGTATCTATGAGATTATTTCAATTTTGTTCTTTAGATTCATGTATAAGTGAAGTCACATGACATTTATTTTTTTCTGACTGACTCCTTTCACCCATGCAGTCACAAAAGTTAAGTTTTGTTCTTTTCTATGGCTGAGTAATATTTCACTGTGTATCTGTACTACCACTTTCTTATCCCCTCCTCTATTGATGGGCACTTGACTTGTCTCCATATCCTGGTCCTTCTTTGTTTCTCACTTCTGCATGTCTTAGTAGTCATTCTCCATTTAGCCTCCAGCACAGTCCCAGCCTCCTCTCCATTTCCTCATAGTCCCTGTCCATTCAATATCATCTCTATCATCTCAGTCTTTCCTTTCTCACTCACTTTCAACACTAAAGCATTGTTTTATTGCGTGACCCTTAAATTCCTGTGTGTACTATGTAAATCACAGTTATGGATTTTATTTCTGGAAATATGGCACAAAACATTACTTGGGAAGACTGTGATAATTCTCATGTGAGGGAAAGTATAGGGATGGAATGAATCTCAAATGTTTTCTCTTTCCAGCCAGTGTGGCTTAGTGGTTGAGCACTGACCCAGGCTCAGTTCCTGCTCAGGGCACATGCTCAGGGTGCAGCCTCAGTCCCCATTCGGAGGACTGCAGGAGGCTGTTGATGGAAGTGTCTCTCGTTGATATTTCTATCTTGCTCTCCTTCTCTCTTCCTCTCTCTCTCTAAAAAATAAATAAATAAATAAATAAATAAATAATAAATCAGTGAAAACATATTTTTTAAAAATCTGTTTAATCTAGTGTACCCTATTGGGCATTCAGAGATCATTTGAGAGGATCCCTGATTAAGATCTGAAATATTTGATGCACTGTTGCCCATCTGTTGTCTTGTACCAGTCTCCATACTCTCCGTTCTGCCCTAACATTGACTAGTTGCTGTTGGCCTCAATTCGCACGTTTAGACCCAGATTTTTGGCTGACAGTCCAGTCTTTAAACACTTTAACAACAGCTGCTCTTGAACATTTAACACATTCAGCTGTTTTGCTGACATTCGCTCCATGGCTCAGAGCACCAACAATCATCCCACTTTAAAGGCTGTTAAATCGCTTTGTTTACCCATATCTTCACGGGGGGAAAAAAATCACTTCTACTGTTGTGGTAAACAACCTGCTTCCCCATTTATAATGGTCTGGCCCTCATGCAAATTCAGCCTGAAATTATAGCAAATTTGCCCAAGTGTCAGGTGGTCATAATTATCTGGCCACTCAGTGTATATTTGCACTACTTATGTGGCTTTGCTCAATCTGAGCACCAGAATATTGGCTGCAATGATTATGTCAGACCTGAGCAGTGAGTCCTGTATATCCATGAAAATATTTCAACTTGTTTTTAATTAATAAAGTTCCCTAAAGTATTCGAACTAAACCTATACACCAAGCAACAATACACCTGTGTGTTAGATATAACCTGACTCCTCAATTAAAAACTGATGAGAATTCCTGGTCAATGAACATTTGTTGGTTATACTGTTTAATAGTGCTCCCCTGTTCTAGCAATCACTAGAGAGGGATAAAATTCACATACCTGCCAGGTGCCCCTTGGTAGATTGCATTTAATATTTTGTTTGTTTTTCTAATTTATATTTTCAAAGCTCTTATTGTCAGATAGAAAATAGGTGAAGGAACTCTTTGTTATATATTTTTAAGAAGATTTTGATATTTCCCTAATATGTTCTGAAAATGCCACCTAAATATTTAGTTATTACCCTGCAATGCCTGTTACACACTTGTTCCTCTTTTGCCCAATGACTAATCATCTAGAAGAAATCTAGGGTTGCCATAGCTACTCACAGACTGAGTGACTCAAACACCAAAAATGTATTTCTTAGAATTTGAGAGGACAGAGTTTGAGATCAAGGTGTCAGTTGGTTTGTTTCTCCTGAGGCCTCTCTCTCTGGCTTTTGGAGGGGCCATCTCCTTGCTGTGTGCTCTCATCACCATCCCGCTGTGCACACCCATCCTTGGTCCTGGTGTCTGAGTGCCCAGTTTTTTCTTAGGAGGATAGCATCCAGAATGGATTAGGGCTTATCATAAAGGCCTGGTGTTAACTGAATGATCTCCATAATGAAAGTGACCGTGTTGTCAAAATACAGTCCCATTCTGAGATACTGGGGGTTAGGACTT